ACAGACAGACAGACAGACAGACAGACAGACAGACAGACAGACAGACAGACAGACACACACCGAGAGACACAGAGATAAAGAAACAGAGGGGAGATCATATGAAACAAAATTATAGGCTTCTGGTACGGAATGTGAACGTTAGAAACTGGAGGGGTTGTTAGAGTGGAATTTTGCAAAAGAAGAAAATTACGATGTGTGGCATATGTGATTTCAGATCTTTCCACGAGTGAACCGAGAGAATACATAAAGTTAGCCATGGCTAGGGATGTGGATTGAGGGGGGGAAATAGTGGGGGGGGGGGGGGTGGTAGAGTTGTTTTTTTCCACAGTGAATCAAAATGGCTTTCAGTTTCGAGGTTGTAAAAGATGAAATTTGCTCTGACAGAAATAAGGAAACGCTTTAGCTTCGTGTAGTAGGTATTTCAGGGCCAACCTGTGACATAACAATATTATCTTTGACATTCTGTACCGTCTCTTTGTCAATTCATGACGTTTCTTTTACATTTCATTATCTCCTACGGAACACGTACTCATTTCTTTCTGTGCAAATTTATTTGAATTTTCTGTCCCTCATTTTGTTACTTTTTGTTTTTCTATTGTCTGTCATTTATTTGACAAAGTAGGGTCTGGAAAATGGCCGCTACCAACACCGCCTTTAACTTTAAGCAAGAACTGTGTCCTCGAAGAAGTTACAAAACCACTTCTGTTCAACAGAACGCAAAGGTAAAAGCCACCTTTTGAATGGGGTAAATATGAAACATCTGAATGAAGTGGTAGTTTAATAGCTAATCGATCTAGAAAAAACACTGGAAGAGATTGTGTGTATATGTGTGTGAGCGCGTGTGAGTGCGAGAGAGAGGGGAGCGGGGGAGAAAAAAAGAGAGAAAGGGAGAGAGAGAGAGAGAGAGAGAGAGAGAGAGAGAGAGAGAGAGAGAGAGAGAGAGAGAGAGAGAGAGAGAGAGAGAGAGAGAGGGGGGGAGAGAGATAGGAGAGAGAGAGAGAGAGAGAGAGAGAGAGAGAGAGAGAGAGAGAGAGAGATGTTTCTATTGATTATTGCCAACTCATTCATTTTTGTTTGTCTACGGAATTCGTTTCTTGTGACATTATTTCTGGACCAGCTATTAATTATTATGTTTGTCTCATTGATTACATAGGTCTGATCCCATTCTGATCCCAGAAATTGTAATTTTGTACTCTTGTTCATGATGATGAGGTTTGTACATGTTACACATACGTAAGATGGGTGTGTGTGTGTGTATGTGTACCCCCCGGGGCAGTGCCACTGACTGTAGTGTCTTTAGGCCATTCCCAAAGGGGGGACATTTCTCGTTCTAATGCACAGTAGAATTATTGTAAATGTGCTAATCCAACATGCCAACAACGTCATGCTCATAACTGTGCCTGAACTACAACAGGGAACTACTGGGTTTTTTTCTCTCATCCTTACTATCGTCATTTTCCTATACTTCTTTTGTATGTTCGTGTCACATTCTTGTGACCCGCTATTTCCGGGGTGCCTTGATAGTCGAAGCAGACTTTATGCTGTTGAAGCTAGAGAGGGTAGCAAAGTTGGTCTTATTCCCTGTAAGGACTTCTCTGTTGACATCCACCCCTTGGCGCTCATATGACCTTATACAGTTGCGAGCGCCGAGAAACCTCTACTTTTAAAAAAAAGTCATTCAACCTGTCACATTTATAACAAGGTAGTCTGGAACGCTGAGGAGACGACTCTAACACGGGAATGCATGTAGTTAATTGGACATGAAATGTCTCTTTTTTGGGGAATCAAATTGACAATGCAGAGGAATACATCCATAGAGAGAGGGGGGAGGGGAAAGAGAGAGAGAGAGAGAGAGAGAGAGAGAGAAAGAGAGAGGGGACAGGGAGGAGGAGACAGAGACAGAGACAGACCGACAGACAGACAGACAGGCAGACAGACAGACAGACAGACAGACAGACAGACAGACAGACAGACAGACAGACAGACAGACAGACAGACAGACAGACAGACAGACAGACAGACAGACAGACAGATAGGCCTACGTACACACACAGCCATACACACGTCCACGCACAGTACACACTCACACGCACACACACACACACACACACACACACACACACACACACACACACACACACACACACACACAGAGTGAGAGA